TCAGACACGACTGAGCAACTTCACTTTTCACTTTCCAGGGAGGCAGGAGTGTCAGTCGGAGCAGATGTGACCGTGGGAGCAGAGGTCAGAAAGGCAGGGTGGTTTGAAGATGATGCACTGCTGGTTTTAAAGATGCAGGAAGGGGCCCAGAGCTAAAGAATTCAGGTGGTCTCTAGAAGCCAGAAAAAGCAAGGGAATTTTCTCTCTTCTAGGGCTTCCAGAAGGAACAGAGCCTGGGACTTCCCTGTTGGTTCAGTGGTTAAGACTCCCTGCTTCCAATGCAGGGGATGCAGGTTTGGATCCCTGGTCAGGGAACTAGGATCTCACATGCCATGCAACATAGCCAAAAAGAAAAAAAGAAAAACCAGAAGGAACACACCCTGGAGGATCCATTTTCAACTTCAGACTTCCAGAACTATAAGATAAAACATTTGTGTTGTTTTATTAGAAGCTAAATTCATGGTAATTTGTTACAGCAGCCGCAGTAAACTAATACACCAGACCTTGCAGGGAAGGCCATATCTGGTTGTGATGCAGGAGGGAGGTTGCAGGGGGCATTTTGCAGCCCACAGGGCGAGGAGTGAGACTCTGGGAGGGAAGAGGGGCCATGCACTGAGTGCTCAGCCCGTGACCTCACCCTTGGCCAGCCAAGCTGCCCTGGCATCCGGACGCCTGTCAGCCCGGGGTTACATGCCTCACTGGGCCAGAAAGGGATCCCTGTGTAGCCAGGCCCCAGGCAAGGGTGGGGGTGTGGCAGAGAAGGCTGGTGCCAGGGGAGGGAGCCCCATCAACCCCCCGGGGCTGCAGAGACCACACGAGTAAAGGGGTGGGGGGGGAGGCCGTCAGGGGCTGACGAGGGGCCCGGTCACCCAGGGCCCCCTGCCGGCTCAGTCCCACTCTGCTTCTCTTCTGTGGGGCAAAAAACTCTCCCTTCCTCTCCTCTCTTTCATTCTCCACCCCTGGGATCCCTGGGAAAGTGGGAGGAGGAGGGACTTGGGGGCTAGAGAGCAAGAGATGGTGTCACAATCTCAGTTCTGTGGTTGAGTAGCTGGGTGACCTTGGGCAAATCACTTTGCCTCTCTGGGCCTGTTCTCTCCTCTGGAATCGAGAGGACAGAGTCTCCACTTCATGGGGCTATTAAATGACATAACACATGCCTATACAGTGCCCAGCATACGGCAAACCCTCCAAGGGCATCATATGTTATCATATGTATACACGCCACTGCCCACAGATAGAACAGCAAGTTTATCTGCCCAGCCAGGTGCCAAGTTCCGCCAGGGGAACATGGTGTCCTGTCCATCTTTGTATCTCAGCATTTTTCTACTTACCAGTATGTATTAGGTGATGCATATGTGTTGTACTTAATCATTCACTCATGCAGAGAGTATGTTTGTGATTGTTATGAAAACAACACAGGAAGAAGAGGGAATGCCAGCAGGGGGGTAGGGCGGTGGTTTGCTGTTCTGTATAGGGTGTCAGAGAGAAGGTTGTCTCACAAGATGCACCTGGAGTAGAGACTCGAGGGTCATGAAGAAGTGAGCCCTGTGGGTTTCTGGGGAAGTGAAGGGCTCTGGCTTGGTGGAAGCACTGGAGGATAGCAAGGCTTGTACAGTGGGATCGGAGCAGGTGAGGGCAGAGGGATAGAAAACAAGGCCTGGCATCGTGGGGCCGGATCACACAGGGCCTTGTAGGCCACAGTAGACCGAGCTTTGCTCGCTGAGCCTGAGGGGGCCTTCTTGGTGAAGCCTTGCTGCTTGGGAGAGGCCCCCTAGGGTCCTGGGAGGCAGGGCCCCTCCCATAGGGCTTCTAGGAGGGGATCATAGGGGCACCCCTAGAGTCAGGCCACCGCCTGGGGAGAGGCAAAGGCCCCAGTGGGCACCCTACCCTTACTGTGAGTCCTCACAGTCAGCACTGACCCGTGAGCTGGGGGGCCCGGGATATTTTTAAACCTAAGCTCCATCCATGTCACTCACAAGTTTCTGTCTACATTTCTAGCTTTTTTTTTTAAATAAAATTTTAAAAAACCAGAAGTTTTCACAGCACAGAAGTGTGCCGGGGGTTGCACTTGTCTGTGCCCACCTGCCCAGCCCTGGCCCACTGGCCCCATTCCCTGGGCAGATTCACACGCAGGAACCCTTTCACCAACAGACCAGGTCACACACACAGCGGCACTGTAACAGACTGCCACACACACACACTCACTCACCTGTGGGTTTTGGGTTCCATTCACTTGGGGTTTTTAACTTTACAGGGTCAGTTCTGCTTTGCCACTCCTTTTCTATGGAGTTCCTTCTGAGGGATTTCACTGTCTGCTTCAGTCCTGAGGCCTCCTGAACCTGACATTGTGATACACCCCAAGTCATCTATGTTTCTTATGTTATTATTGATAATAATTATAATATTATTATGTAATAAATTTATAAGAAATGAAAAAAAAAGAGAGACTGGGCTTTACTTTGCCACCAAGGGGGCCTGGCCTCTGAAAGGCTTTGACCAGAGGCATGAGTTGCTCTGGCTTATATTTTAAAAGAATCACCTGGGACTTCTCTGTTAGTCCAGTGGCTAACACTCCGCACTCCCAATGCAGGGTGCCCAGGTTCCATCCCTGGTCAGGGAACTAGATCCCACACGCCACAACTAGGAGTTTGCATGCTACAACTAACGATCCTGCATGCTGAAACTAAGACCTGGTCCAGCCGAATAAATAAATAAAAGCTTTTTTAAAAAATAAAAGAATCACCTGGCAGCTGTATTGGGAAGATTCTGTAGGGAGACAACACCAGGGGCTGGGAGAATGGGAGCTCACTGCAGGAATCCAGGAAAGAGATGGTAATGGCCTGGGCCAGCGTTGCTATGGGAGAGACCAGAGGAAGTGGTCAGACTGAAGATATATTATGAATACAGTGAAGACAGGATTTGCTGATGGATTAAACATGGGGTGTAGGAATTGAGGGTTGCTCCAACAGTTTGGGTGGGGGTTGTTATTGTTTATCTGAGCAACTAGAAAAATGGAATTGCTATTTTCTGAGATGGGGTAAGTTTAAGGAGACCCAGGTCTGGGAGGATGGTGAGGGAGTGTGGTGATTATGTGTTAACCTGACTGGGCCATGTGGTCCCCAGATATTTGGTCACACATTCTGGGTGTTTGTGCAGGTATTTCTGGATGCGATTAACACCTGAATCTGCTAGGCTTGATAAAGTGGATTGCCCTTCCCAGTGTGGGTGGGCTTCACCCAATCTGCTGAAGGCCTGAAGAGAATAGCAACAAATGGCTAAGAGAGCATTTGCTCTCTCTGCCTAAGTCCTTGAGCTCAGACATAAATCTCTTCCTGTTTTCGGAACTGGACTCAGGCTGGATGGCTCTCCCGGTTCTCAGGCATAAGTAAATACTATATACATATGTCCTGTTGGTTCTGTTTCATTGGACACCTAACAGAGTCAGAAGTGGGGTCCTGCTTCTGTTCAGCATGAGACCCTACTCCGTATCCTGACAGAGATGGGGAGTAGGCACAGATATGAGATCACGAGGCAGTGAGAGCCAAATCGATCACTGGATTGAATCCTCCCAATCTCTGTCCTCCCCCCACCAATATTTATTTATTTGGCTGCACTGGGTCTTAGTTGCGGCATGTGGGATCTAGTTCCCTGACCATGGGTTGAACCTGCAATGGGAGCTTAGAGTCCTAGTCACTGGACCACCAGGGAAGTCCCCCAGTCTCTGTCCTTTGACCCAGCAGAAGTTGTTTTTCTCCTCTGCATAGCTGCTGAAGCATCCTTTCCTGATTCTTCTCCCCAGAAGAGTCCTGGGCTCCAGCTTTGTGTCCTGCTTAGAGAGCTCACCTGTCTTTGGTTTCCCTAGAGGGTTCACATAACCCCCAAGAAACCCTAAATCCCCTCCCCTCCAACTGTGCGGTCCTCTGACAGAGGGAGACCCCTACAAGATGAGGGAGCCCTGAATAGAGAGGGACCTCACCCACGCCAGGCAAGAACAGCTGGGCTGGAAGGGGTGGACTTCTCTTCACTGCTCTCTCCTGGTCTCCCAAAGGTCTGGGCCCCAGAAGCACGGCCCACAACCAGCTTCTCTTGTGATGTTGGACCCTTTACATGGGACCAGGAGGTGTAGTGGAAGGGAAGTGTCATCTAGGCAGGCCCAGCTTCCTAACTGGGCACACCTCTCATCACTGGTGACCTGGGCAAGACAGTTTGTCTCTCTGAGCCTCATTCTCCCCATCCACAACACAGGGATACGTGTGAGTGCCTTACAGTATAGCTAACGGTAGGATGCACCTGCTGCAGTGACCCATCCTTAGCAATAAATGACTACAGAGAGTGGGTCTTTCAGAGTCCTCTCCCATCCTCAGCCAGCCTCTCTCCTTTCTGAGATTAGATTATTTTACCCCCAGCCTGTCCTTCAGAAACCAAATTTTTACTACGGACACGGGCAACCAGGGGACGGTTGCCAAGGGTAGGGCTTTCAGAAAGGCTGTCCGTCGCCCAGGAAACTGCCCCACTCTGGTTCCCTGGGGTCCGGCAGGTCGATGGATTCTGGTGCCACCTGCTGGATACTGTGCCACATTGCTCCTAAAGCACCCACACGCGGGAGTCCCCGCATCCCGCGGCAGGGAACACCCTCTGCCCCGCCCCTCTTCTCGCCCCCGCATCTCCACCGTGAAAAGTCCTTCCTACTTCTTGTTCCTAGGTTTTCCCAGAGCCCAGAAGAACGGAAAGGAGCTGGAAGCACTGTGAACCACGGGGAGCGGTGAAAGGAGCAGTGTCCTTCCCGGAGGACGACGAGGACCGAGGAGCAGGACTCCCGGCGGTGCGGGGGCCGAAGGAAACCCCTCCCCTTAACTGACTTCCTGAAGCTCTGACTCCGCAGGGCAGACACACGTTTCGCTTCTCATTCTTTCGCTTCCCACCGAGAGCAGCGGCGGGGTGGGGAGGAAGAGGTTAACACGGGGTGGGAGAATGACGTGCGAGGTCACAGCCAGGTCCTTATGCAACGTCCCCTCCTGGCCCCCTCCTCCTTGCCAGCCGCTCAGCCCAGGAAGCTCCAGTGCCGACTCCCCTTTTCTTCCCTGGGGAGAACCTGCCTACCTACCTTGACGGCATATCAGACCAACCCCACCCCCCACCCCCCCACCGTGGAGCCTCTGATCACCCTGCTTCAGAGGGAATCCTCGGTGCAGCGCAGAAGAGCAGAGAAGAAGAAATCCCTCTTCCGTGAGAGACCAGGTCTCCTGAGTCGGATTCCTGTCCGGGACAGCCCCTGTGCCCGGCCATCCCGAGGTCAGCCTGCCCTGAAAGGTGAAGGGTGAGGTGGAGCCGCTGCTGAGTGGAGGGGGTGGGGGGTGATCTAAAGACAGGAGGCTGTTGGGGTGCCTGTGGATGGCTCCTGTTTCCCTGGCTAGGATCACAAGCAGAAAAATTGAGGCGGAGGCACTTCCAGAAGGAAAGGCTGGTCGCTACCTACCTGTCCCAGGGGAATACTGCACCTTGCAACCCACATGCCTCCTCCCAGGCTTTTATCTGGGCTGGGGATGTTGCTGACTTGTGAGCCAGACACCCTGGCTCCCAGCCCAGAAGCTCATGTTGCCAGTGGGCTTAAGGGTGGTGGGGTGGAGCGGGAGGTTGGGGACAAAGGTCTCCCAGGTCCCAATCCCTCCCACCTTCCCTCTGGAGCTGAGTGACAGGAAAGGGAAAGGAGAATGACAGAGGTGAGTCCGCATCCTGTAGGTGAGGGGTGCTGCCCTGAGGACAGTAGGTATGGGGAGCGGAGTGGGGGAGCTGGGGCCCGGGAGAGGCTACGGGGTAGGGGGGCCTGCATGCTTTGACTCTGGTACTACCCTCTGACTCCAAACTCCCCTCAGCTGACAGCAGAAGGGCTGCTAGGAGTGCACTGGGGTGGATAGACTTGGCCCCTCAACCTCCAAATGGTGTGTGTGTAAAGCAGAGAGGCAGAGAGGCAGGGGTGGGGATCCAAAGCTCTTCTGAAGAGTCAAGAGAGATGCTGCCTTTCCCCGGACCCCCATGGCTGGCCCCTCCTCCTCTCCAGACCCAACTCCTGGGTGTGAGGAGAGTTGGCTGGCAGGGATGGGGGAGAGATTGAGAGAGAGATTGAGGGCAGCTGGGGTATTGGCCCCTCCTCTCCAGGCAAACTACCCAGCTCCCGGATGGGTATTAGAACCACAGAAGCTTAAAGGGCCCTCCGAGAGCTAATCCCAGCCGCAGCCATCTGAGAGCGGATGTGTGTGGGGGAAACGCGGGGCGAGTGGAGGCCCACCTACCACTCCTCCTCCCTCTGTCCTCCAGGGTGCGGCCATGGCCCCGCTGCTCCCCACCGATGTGACCGTGACCCGGTTCTCCCGCTCCATCCACCTGTACTCCAGGCCAGGCCCCGCGGGTTCCCCAGGGCCCGCCCACTGCTCCTGTTCCTGCCGTGGCTGGGGGCGAGGCCGGCTGCCCAGGGCCAGTACCTGCAGCTGTACCTGGCCTGCGGCTTCGACGTGCTGGCCGTGGAGAGCTCGCTGAGCCACTTTCTGTGCCCGCGCCAGGGCCTGAGGTGGGCTGCCCACGTGCTGGCGCTGCTGCGGGGGTCTGGGGCCCTGGCCAGCCGCCCACTGGTGGTGCATGCGCTCTCCCTGGGTGGCTACACCTTTGCACAGATGCTCCTGCTCATGGGCCGGGACCTGGGGCACCACGGTGGCGTGGCCCAGCGCCTGAGGGGCCATATTTTCGACAGCCTGGTGGTGGGCAGCCTGGACCGCATGGCGCTGGGTGAGTGTGCTGGGCCGAGGGTGAGGAGGCACCTGGGCCACACAAGCCAGGAAGGACTCCAGGTGCATGGGCAGGTCTGCAGAGCAATGGGCCTGTGATCTAAGTGTCCCAGAGGTGTCTTGGGTCTCTGACCGTCCCACCTGATGTGATCTTCCTACCTGGAGTGTCAGTCATCTTGTCCCACCTGGGCCTTCCCCACTGTGGCTGAAAATACAACCCAGAGTGAACGTGCTGCCTGGGTCCAGCCTGGCACGCCTTTATCTCCAGCCTCTACTAGGGCTAATTTACTGAGCACCTGTAACTTTCCATACATACTCACATAATCCCCACATTGGGACCATGAGATAGGTGTGGTGCCTTTTGAAATTCTTTTCTTGGGACACAAGCTTTGGAAAGCGTCTCAGCAATCATGTACGGTTGACCCATGAACAACAGGGGTTTTAACTGCTATGCAGGTCCATTATATGGGGATTTTTTTCAGTAAATATGTATTATAGCACTACGATCTGAGGTTGGTTGAATTCTCAGATGTGGAATTGCAGATACGGAGGCCCGACTATAAAGTTACCTCTGAGTTTCAACCTTGTGGAGAGTCAGCACCCCTAAAATCTGCAGTGTTCAAGAGCCAACTGTGACTGGGTGCTCAGGTTTCCTCTAAAACAGTGATTCTGAAACTGGTGAGTATCAGAATCATCTGGTGCTGAATTCTACTTCCATGAGCCTGGGCCTCTGAACTCTAGACCTAGGTGGTTTCTGATCCACAGCATAGTTTCAGGACCACAGTGCTCTAACTTTCTCTAGAAGGACCAAAGTAACTAACACACCTCAAGTAACAAAGTAACTGCTCACAAAAGAGTTGGACACAATTTAGTAAAGAATCTGCCTATAATGTGGAATACTTGGGTCTGATCCCTGGGTTGGGAAGATCCCCTGGAGTAAGGGATTGGCTACACACTCCAGTATTCTTGCCTGGAGAATTCCATGGACAGAGGAGCCTGGCGGGCTACAGTTCATAGGATCACAAAGAGTTGGACATGACTGAGCGACTAACACTTTCATTTTAACAACTAAACAACAACAACAACAAAACCATCCCATGGGTCAGTTCTAATTGACCAGTTAGGTCTAGTTCAAAAGGAGAATTCACCCTTGATGCAGAGTGACTTGGCATTTCTCTAAAAACCCTTAGATCTTTTCCATTTCGATTGCTGGTCAAACTGCTTCCTGTATGGTTTTTGTCAAGCAATGGGCAAGACAAACTGTGAGACACGGCCCTGTGTCAGACAGGGCCAGGTCCATGGCCCTGTTCTGGTCCATCCCCCTTTTACCATCCCTGGGTATCTGGATTTCCTTCTCCCACCCAGCCAGGTCACCTCAGACTCCAAGGTGCTCACCACGGCCACAGAGTCTAGGGCATAAGGCCTCAGGGGACTCTCAATGAAGCAGTTGTTGAACCAATTCTGAACCCACCCAACAATCCTACCACCTAGATCTTTCCTTCTCATCCCTGAAGATGTCACAAAGCTGGAAAATACCAGAGAGAAAGGCTGGCTCCTGACCACATGGCTCTTTTGGGAATGGCCTGGGAGAGGGCAGGGACCAGCAGGCCAAGTGTGGGCGAAGGCCACCCCGCCCTGGCAGTCATGGGGCTGTTTCCAGCTCTCCACTACTCACAACTAGGGCCTTCTGCCCTCTGCTCCTTCCTGCCACTAGAGCATTCCCAGGCCACCTTCCTTGCCTCTGCCCAGAATAGCGTCTGTACCAGGCGGGACAGCTGGGTGCCCACTGACCAACTACAACAAAGGCAGAGAAGGCAATGTTTCTGTCCCAGGACCCCAAGCTCTAGGGATCCTCAGCAGTCCATGTGTCAGTGCTGTCCCCCACTCCCAGGAGGCGGGGCCTGACCTCCATATGACAACAGGTGCTAACCCCCTCCTCCTGGAACCCACAGGTGTGTCTCAGCTGATGAAGCCGCAGGCCCTGGGCCCAGTGGTCAGGGCCACAGCCATGTTCTACTTCCACCTGTATCCCAGCTGCACCATTCGGCATTACGAGGCTGCAGTGGCTGCATTCTGGCAGCCACCGGTCAGACCCCCGACACTTGTCTTCTACAGCCTGGACGATCCCCTCTGCGACAGTGCCCGCCTGCAGGAGCTGCTGGCTGCCTGGCAGCGGCTGGGCATGCCGGTGTGGGTCCAGGCCTGGGCGACCTCGCGCCATGCCGCCCACCTGCGCCAGCACCCCCTGGAGTACAGCAGCACCCTCGTCACCTTCCTGGGGAGGCTCGGCCTGGCGGCCCCCAAAGCCCAGCTCTGACGGCCCTCTGGGCTCCGGCTCCCCGCTGGGATGCGGGCCAGCAGTCCAGGGGACAGAGACAGGACAACAGAAGCACTGAAACCTCTTGATTTATTCAGATTATTTTAACATACAATGACGCGACTGTGGCCCCCAAAGTGTGCAAAGTTAAAGCCTTCGACTGCAGCTGAGAGGAGAAGTCAGGGATGGTACACCTAGGGATGGGGGCCAGTCGAGAATGGCGGGCAGCCTCCTCCCCAGAGCCAGGGACGGGCGGCCTGAGGGGCAGGGCTGGGGAGTCCCAGCCAGGGGAAGGGGGCAGAGACCTCCCTCCGGCCTGGATCAGGAGCCCGCTAGCGCCCCACGGCTGAGGGCGCAGCAGCCTGGGAAGGGGCCGGAGGCAGGCCAGGAGAGCACCATTTCTGCGGTGGGGGGTGGGGGTGGGGTGGGGGTGCCCTACAGGAGAAGCCAGGAGGGGCCACTGGTCCCAGGGGTGGGAGCCAGGCCGGAGCAGGCTGCAGCGAGAAAGACCTGAGGCAGGCGCAGGGCCTGAGAGTCCAGGCTGGCTGGGCTCAGGGGGGCTGAAGAACGGGGGACCTGGGAGGATTCCCAGGGCAGGCCAGCCCGGGAGCAGTCCTGACTCTGCGGGGGGGAGGGGGCGGGGGGAGGCCCAGGGAAGGGCCGTGGACACCCAGGGCCCACCCCACCTCTCTCCCTGGAAAAGGAGCCGGGGAACCAGTAGTGCAAGTCTATGGACTGCTCAGTTACGAAGGGAGGCTGCGCCGGAAGCGGGGCCCTGGGGCACGCCCCCTCCGCTGCCTCGGCCGCCTGCGCCGTCCTCAGTACAGCCGCTTCTCGTAACTGCGGGCACAAAGGCAGAGCGAAAACCCAGAGTGGGCGAGCGGGAAGCGCGCCCCGCCTTCCCAGAGCCCCTTGCCCAGGCTGGCCCTGGGCTGCCAGGCGGCCCCCAGGCTCTCAGGGGAGGCAGTGAGCTGCTGCTGAAGCCCTGCCCCTCAGCCACGGTGGAGGGGAGGGGAGTGGGGTGTGGGAAGGGACGGGAAGCAAGCCCAGTGCCTCTGTTCATCCACTTCAGGCCAAGGCTCCCGGAAGAGCCAAGCCAGGCCCAGAGACAGCCATGCTCCTCGGGCCGCAGCTGGTGGAGGGTCTGTCCTCAGGGCCGGGGTGGAGGCGGCTCAGGACAGCACGGCCCATCCTCACAGGGTGAGGTCAGGCCAAGCCCGGGCTCTGCCGCTCACATCTCCACCCACCCCTGCAGGCACAGTGGCCTGAGCCCCCTGTGGTCACTGGGTCCAGTCCCAGACAGGCCAGCCTCAGGCCTGTGGTCAGGGACGCCTCTCTGCACCCCAGGAGGGGACGTTTCCCCTGCAGGGAAGGCCAAGGCCAGCTGCCCCCACCACGATGCTAGTCCTAGGGTCCAAGTCCCATGATGACACCCCAGCTCCGCCCCCAGCCCAACGCCACCCACCCCAGCCCAGGCCCCACCCAGACTGCCCCCTGCTCTACTCTACGCTTGGCCCCGGGCAGCGCAGTTACTTACACGGCAGAAAGGTATAGCTACGGGAGGATGGGGCAGAAAGAGACACAGGTTAGATGCCCGCCTCTGCCTGGGGGGACAGGCCCTCTTGATCAGGGCGGGGCTGCATGCCTGCAACTACTGCTGCCAACTAGCGCTACCCCCACCCACGGTCGCCCCAGCGCTGGCCCTGGCATCGATCTCTCTACCCTTCTCCCTACCAAGGGCTCGCGCCCCCAGCCTCCACCTGCCTGCTGGGTGCCACCACCAGCGAGAGCCCAGCACCGCCAGCCCTGCGACCAGCCACCAAGCTTCTGAGCAAGCAAGGGCTGGGAAGCCGGGAGGGGCAAGTGGTCACATCTCCCGTGCCCGGATCGGGGTGGGGGGATGAGACACCCGAGGGGATGGGAGGGCCTGCCTGCATGGGGGGCTAAAGGGCGGGGTTCCAGGGTGGGCCAGGCACCAAAGGAGAGGGTGCTGGGGCCACCCTGCCGCAGCCTCCGTCCCTGAAACCTCGGCTCAGCCGCTAAACCATGGCCCCGCCTGCCCGATCCAGGGCCAGCCCAGCCAGGGCCAGGAGGCCTCCGCACTTACGAGTGCAGGCCGTGGACACCACCCTCGATCTGGGCCGACATGGTCCGCTTCTCAAACTTGAGCTCTCCTGAGTACATCATGGACCTGCCAGCAGGGAGATGGTGCCGGTCAGGGGCAGCAAGCAGGAAGGAGAGATCGAGACAGAGAAAGGAAGCGAGGGAGGGGGCCAGGAGCCTCCCACTAGCCTCCCACCTGTGGCCCGCGAGCTGCCGCACTTACCGCAGGACAGACAAGCTCCGGGCCCCAATGTCCTGGCAGCCGTGCTGGATGCCCGCTATGAGGTAGGGCACGAACTTCTGAATGGAGCCTTTGTCCTGGATGGAGCCCGAGACGCCCTGTGCGATCTTCACCTTGTCTCCCTCGCTGCATGGAGGGCGGGGAGACTGAGCCCCACTGCCCAGGGCTCAGGGGACCCCACTCCACCTCTCGAGGGTACTGGCAGAGGGGCTACTAGCCAGCAGGCATGCTCAGTCCTTCAGTTGTGTCCGACTCTGTGCGACCCCATGGACTGTAGCCCTCCAGGCTCCTCTGTGCATGGAATTCTCCAGGCAAGAATGCTGGAGTGGGTTGCTGTGGCCTCCAGGAGATCTTCCCAACCCAGGGATCGAACCTGTGTTGCTTATGTCTCCTGCATTGGCAGGCGTGTTCTTTACCACTGCACCCCCTGGGAAGCCCCAGAACGACCTCTAAAGCTGCTACTCTCTGTGCTACAGCATAAATAAGCATGCGTTCCTAGTCAGGCGGCCCCGGCACTGTCTCGGGCCTGCGACTCGTTGCCCTGTGCCTCGGTTTCCAGAGCTGTAATACGGAGACTGGGAGCCACTGTGGAAAGTCAGAAGGTATGTGTGGACCTGAAGGAGGCTGATGTGCTGGCCCAAGGCCGGGGAGGGGGTGGGGCGGGCATGCACCTAAAGTAGCGCTTCTGGCTGCTGCTGCTCTTCTCCATGGCGTCCAGAGAGCCCATGCCGCGGTACTTCTTGAGTCTCACACCATCCGAGAAGAAGTATTCGCCGGGGGCCTCCGTGGTAGCCGCGAGCAGGGAGCCCATCATCACTGTGGGGGTCGGGGGGGGGGTCAGTGTCTCTAGCCCCCGGGCCCTCTGACCACCCCTTGCAGGCCTGCCCCATCCCCAGCGGACCCGCCCCCTCACCTGTGGAGGCTCCTAGGGCCAGCGCCTTGACCACGTGCCCCACGGTCTGGATGCCGCCGTCGGCTATGACTGGGACCCCGAAGCGCCGGGCATACTCAGCCACCTTGTACACGGCAGTGCCCTGGGGCCGACCACAGGCCATCACTGGGGATGGTACACGAGACAGGTGTCAACAGCAACGGGGGCCAATTACAGGCCCCTCACTCCTGGTGCCCAACCTCCACTTGGGAAAAAGGACTGCTCTGGATATTCACGTGGTGAATAAAAATAACAATAGTACTAGGGTAAATGTCATTCCAGGAACCTGGACCTCCTCACCTACAAAAGCCCTATGGGGACGCCAGCAGCTGCATCAGTACTGATCTCAGCCTCACCTCTCTCCACGCACTAGCTTCCCCTTCACCATTACTAGGGTTAGGTACTCACAGCCTCCTTTGGGATATTGGTTTGCATTTCTTTAAGCTTCATTGTCCAAGGGTCTTAAGTATTCGATTTCTAAGTGAGAATTCTAAGAAACTGGCCCGTATCTAGGGAATGGATGCAAGGCTAGATAAAGGAGGAAAGAAGTCTCGTCTGCCTGTACCTGTTTTGTTCTTTTCGCATCCCCAAGATTTAGAACAACGCCTGACACACAGCAGGTGCTCAATTAACATATCTTAATTTATAGAAAAAGCCTACATCTCACCTCAGAGGTCAGCTAATACAGAGGTGGAATGGAGGGGGTTGCCTTGTCCACCTCCAGGGGGATCTTCCCAAACTGGGATGGAACGCTGGTCTCCCACATTGCAGGTGGATTCTTAACCATCTGAGCCACCAGGGAAGCCCAGGCAGTTAAAAGCAGAGGCTTAAAGACCAAACAGGTTGAGCAGCATTTGGGAGACATAACCCTCACTAGAGAGACCAAATATCCCAGTCCTGGGCCTGCCAATTGGGCTTCCTAGACCAGAATCTGAGAAGCAAACTGATACACACCAAAAATTCACGGTCACCTCCTCAGATACCTGTCTCCCCGCAAGTCAGGGGGCTGAACAGTCAGTCTGAGCCTGGGTCACTCCTGAACCCCAGGAAGGGGCCTGACTGAGCGAGCGCTCTGCATGCACTTGTGGCAGGAGAGTGAGGCCCCAGGGCCTGATAAGAGCTGGGGGGCATTCGAAGTGCAGCCACTCACACTCCTCCTGACACTCACCTTCCTGGGTGATGCAGATGGAGCCACAGCCCATGCCCACACGCAGCCCATCTACACCAGCGTCAATCAGGTTCTTGGCCTGAGCTGCTGTCACCACTGGGGAGAGCGGCAGTCGGAGGGCAAGAAGAGTGTCAGGATGCGTTGCCTCTGCCCTGCCCAAGGGCGTCCTGGGACCCCAGTCCATACCCACCCCCCACACCCCCCACTACTGTGACCAAAGCCCATTCCTGCAGCCCCCCGCCTCCCATGCCAGGAGCAATGCCACCACCAGGGGATTCCAAATGACACAGAGAGGTTACACGGGGAGGGGGCGAGGGCCAGGATGTGAGCAGGGACCCCACACTCACCATTCCCCCCAATCACCTGGAGGTGGGGGTACTTCTGCTTAATGTAGTGTACCATGGCAATCTGATACACGGAGTTCCCTTGGGATGAGTCCTGTGGGAAGGGGACCAGGAAAGCTGAGGGGTGGAAGCTTAGGACCCTCACTGAGGGAGGGGGGTTTCGGGGGTTCTGAGTGGACAAACCGATGAAAGCTGTATGAGAATGCACCTCTTTTTCTGGGCAGTCACTAGACAATTCTCAGCAGATTCTCAACGGGTCCTGCCTCCCCCGCAAAGGGTAAGCACCACTCATGGATAGTTGCAGGGCAGACAAAGCCCCTTCATACCCACGATATGGACCGGTCCTCACAGCAAAGAGATGGGACCTGGGGTCATATTCTGTTCCCACCAACTAACTAAATTACTTAACCTCTTGAACCTCAGTTTCCCCACCTGACAAATGGGCTTGGTGACTGTACATCAATGAGGATTAACTGAGTTCACCTACATAAAGTTCTTAGTGCAGCGCCTGGTCAGCCATTGCACTCAATGAGCACGATAAACATCAGGGTCAAGTTATGTAAGTGCAGAGAGCCCACAGGGGGTCCTCAGTTTGTTCTAAGCTGTCAGAGTCCCAGTGACCCTCCCAGTTCTGACACTGGGCTTAATTAGAGGTGAAGCTGGCTCTTCATAAGTGCAGATTCTACTGAACCACCCCTTCTCCAGGGCAGTGCCCCTACCAGCACTATGACATCAGCGCCCGCCTGGGTGAGCAGGTCCAGGCGGTATTTGTCATCCTCACGGGTGCCCACAGCCGCCCCGCACAGCAGCTGCTTGTGGGAATCCTTGGAGGCCAGGGGGTAGTCCCGGTTCTTCTTCAGGTCAGTGCGGGCAATGATGGCTACTAACTCGTCTCGATCATTGACAATGGGCAGCTTGCCTGACAAGGAACGCAGGAGTGAGATGAAGGAGCAGGCTTCTGGAGGTCAGGTAGGATGGGTAGTGAGGATGAAAGGGGACCAGGCCAGACATTACCCTGCAGTACCCAAAGCCACCACTAGGTGGCAGCAACCACCCAGGAAGTGTTCCTAGGGACCTGGCCCTCTGCCCAGCGAACAGGAAGCAAAGAAACCCGGTTCCTGGAGCTCTTCCTGCCCTGTGGCGAGGCCGGGCTCCGTGGGCAGCCCCTGCGCACTGGCAGCCCTTCACCTGCTGGGCCACAGGCCACAGTGGTCGAAACCTCCTAGCCAGGGCACAAACGTGAGGCTCTCCTGCAGGGAGGAACACGTGTCCTGCCCACCGCCACCCCTGAAGACGATCCAGCCTGGGCCACGGGGGCATTTCCCAGTGGCTCCCGTAGGGACCTAATGAATAGTATGTCAACTGCCCCACTGTCAAATGACTTTAACTCTAGGACTTCTCAGAGCCCTTGATAAAGTAATTCCTTATGCAAGATGGGGACACAGAAGCATTTTCCGACTTTCTAGGACCACACTGCCCTTTCTTCATGATGAGTGTTTCACAGACCTAGTTATTTTGAGAACCATACTGTGAAGACGCCAAATAAGGGATGGGATTTCCTAAACCAGGAAAGAGACCTCGGATATCAAGCTCCAGTCTGAGGTTATTCAGACCTTCCCCAAGGCCCAGCCTGGTTGCAGGGACAACCTGCAAAGCTGTGAAGCAACAGGGGGCTCTGGTGGGAAGGGGGTGCATTTCCCAACTGCTCCCTGGTACCTTTCTTGCTGCGCTGCAGGATCTCATTTGCCTCTTTCAATGTCACACCCGCCGGAGCCACCACCAGCTCATTCCGCGGGGTCATCACCTGTGGGGCCAGGAACATTTGCCTGCAGGTTGGCAGGTGAGAGAGAAGGGAGCCAGGCCTCCCTCTGGTCCCTGGTCACAGGCACCAGCCTGAGGCCCCGGATCTGGGGTCCTCTCTGCCCCAGCCACGCCCTCCCTGCTCCACAGGTACCTCACTGAGAAGGGTGGTGTGGTCCTTCTCAGCGAGAAAGTCGATGTCTCGGGAGGTGACGATGCCCACCAGCTTGCTGCCCATGGTGCCCGTCTCAGTGATGGGGATGCCTGAGAAGCCATGCCGGATCTTGGCCTCCAGCACGTCGCCCACGGTGTGCGAGGGGCTTAGCACCACTGGGTCCGTGATGAAGCCCTGTTCAAATTTCTGAGGGGAGAGACAGGGGAAGGAAAAGGCTGGAAGAAAGCTAGAGATGGTGTACAGTCTGGCCACAGGGGACAGAATGTACTGGGGCAAGAAGCCAGTGGGGAAATGAGAATCGAGCCCTGTGCCCTCACTGGAAGGCCAGACAAGACCCCACAGGAATCAGTCAGGGAGCACATGGGCCCACAGAGCTGGCAATGGGGGTTTGGGGAGGCGTGAGGGTCCGTGAGGCAGGGGACCACCAGAAGGCATCTTCTTCCTGGGAACGGGCCTGGTACTTGCCTTGACCTTCCGCACCTCATTGGCCTGGAACTCTGGAGTGCAGTTGTGGTGAATGAAACCGATACCGCCCATCAGCTGGGGTAGAAGGGAAGTACAGTTAGAGTCAGGGGCCAGTCGTTCTCACTCTGCCAACCCCACCTCTGATTGCAGTTCCTCCTGACGTCCGGCCCACCCTGCTAAGTCCTCCCGGCCCCCACCCACGTGCCCAACTCACAGCCATTGCAATGGCCATGTCAGCCTCTGTCACAGTGTCCATGGGGGATGAGATGAGTGGCGTCTTCAATGTGATCTTCCGAGTCAGAGCTGAAGTCAGGTCCTGAGGATGGAGACACGGTCTACGTGAAAAGTTTTATCATTCATTCAACAAACACTTACTAGCTCCTGCATGTACCTGGCACCGGGAGAGGCCCTGGGGATACAGCAGTGAGCAAAGTGAATGAGGTCTGTGCTACCTCCTCTGGAGCTTACCTTCTACTTGGAAAGAAAAATGACACACACGAAACATATCCAAGATGACTCCAGTTGGGATGAAGGCTCCAAAGAAAAGCAAGAGGCAAAGTGACCACTGGAGGAAGAATGTGGTGGTGGGAAAAACCTCTTTCTTGAGGGGGTGACAAAGGGAAACTAGTCAAGTAGAAGTCCAGGAGTCTGTTTTTCCAGGCTGAGGGAACTGTGTGTGAACCCCTGTCTCTGATTCCAGTTCTCCTGCGGTGCATTTAAGGAAGAAAAAGCTAGCAGAGCAGAGGAAAGGGAGAGAGATGGGCAGAGAAGTGGGGCGAGGATGTGTAGCCTTGAAAGCCTCGAAGAGGAGCTTGGATCTGACTTTGCGATGAGAAGCCACTGGAGGACCACAAGCAGAAGAAAGACATGAGCTGATTCATGTTTTAAAGAGGTCGCTCAGGCTGCAATGTGGATTCTGGGTGACAAGGTCTAGACAGAGACACCACTAGGTAGGCTGCTGACGGGTCCAGGTGGGAGATTCTGGGGCCGGATGAGAGGGAGGCAAGGGAAGGAGTCTATTAGGCAGCCCACCCAGGGGAGAAGGTGACTACCTGTCCACAGCTCAAAGGAGAGGTCAAGATGGCAAGCGTATTCAGGAAGCATCTGCCCGTGAGCAGTAGATCAGGCCGGATCACAGACTCCTCCGAGATTCAGGCTAAGAGTTACGGATCCTAGCCCCCTAAACCTCCAGACACAGACTTTGCTACGTAACTTTCTGGAGACTCAAAGACCCCTACAGTCTATTCCCAGAGCCGGGCCGATAACCTCGGCCCCGCAGTCTAGAAAACTCCCCCTTCTCCTCGCTTATCCTAGCGCAGAAGAGCCACAGCCTCCTGACATAGACCAAAGGAAGGAGACCCTTGATGGCCAGTGGGCTTCTTCCATCCCTCTCTTCCTTGCACTCTGCCCAGGATCTGGGACAAAGTCAACTGTTAGTCGCTCAGCTGTGGTCTTTGCGACCCCATGGACTGTGGCCAACCAGGACCCTCTGTCCATAGGGATTCTCTAAGCAAGAGCACTGGAGGGGGTTGCCATTCCCTTCTCCAGGGGATCTTCCCGACTCAGGGACTGGACCTACGACTTCTGCATTGCAGGCATTCTTTACCATCTCAGCCACCAGGGAAGCACCAGCACAAGGCCAGGCCGCTCACTTTCACTTTGTGAAACTGAACAGCCAAACCAAGCAGGCTTCCAGGTTGCTATCACAAAGGGAATATCCAGAATAGTCCTAATGTCCCCTTAGCAATCTGTCTGGGTCAGCACTGACTACACAAGCTGGATATGAGCTTCCCCAACCTATAAAAGATCTGGGCACACTCAGGCCCTCTGGTGTTCCATAAGAATCAAACCTGAATAAATATTAATGATAACAGCAACAGAAAAACTTTTTTAAAAATGCGTACTAATTCATCATAGGATAACTTTTCCATGAAATGACTAACACCCATTAGCATTTAGCTTCTTGGCTCCTATAATGTTGTTGCATGTTTTTTAAATTTTATTATTAAAAAAAACTTTTTTTGGCGGTGCTGGGTCTTCCTTGCTACACATGGGCTTTCTCTAGTTGTGGTGAGCAGGGGCTACTCTGCGTTGTGGTGTGAGGGCTTCTCATTTCGGTGGCTTTTTTTGTTGCGGAGCACAGGCTTTAGGTGCACAGCCTCAGTAGTTGTGGCTCGCTGGTTTAGCAGTCGTGGTGCACGGGCTTAGTTGCTCTGAGGCGTATGGAATCTTCCCGGACCAGTAATCGAACCTGTGTCTCCTGCATTAGCATGCAGATTCTCATCCACTGCGCCAACCAGGAAATTTGGGTTGTCGTATGTTAATAGTATAAAGGATATTGGTCATTCACTCAGTTTATTCCTGAGCCCCGCTGGTTAGGAGAAGCACTGTTTCTGTGTCTTAGACCACAATCCAACTTCTTCAGATCCTCTCACCAGTTCTTCTAAGTCATGGACCCACAAACAAGTCTGTCCACCTCTTCCAAAGTATCCATAATTTTACTGGCTTCTAGGATATCTTTGCTTAGCACTTCAGAGGAAATTCAGTAAGTAATAAAGCAGCCACACCTACATCCACCCCCACACCCTCCCTGGTTCTAAACTTGACTGCAGGGCCCAGACCAGACCCACCTTTCAGGATCCCACTGTATCCCTGTCTCTAACCCATCAGGCATAATCCACTGCCCACAGCACAAATGGCTACATCCACCGCCTTTCCCAGAAAAATCTCTCTCCCACACCCCTGAGCCAGAGATCAGCGTCCTACACCATACACACAGCCCCTCTGCCCTTCACTCACCACTTCATCAGCTGTGAAGTCTATGAATCCTGGGAGAATCAGGAAGTCGCTGTGAAGAAAGGAAGTGAGCGTTACTGGGTGAAGAGGGGTCCCTGAAAGGGGCAGGGCCTGCCACGCCAGGGGAAGCAGTGTGTGGGTGGGGAGAGGAGCAGAGTATCTGAACCCTGTGACCTGTTCAGGACTGAGCCACCCTCCTGCCCCCTGCTATATCTTGTCAACCTCAGCCCAGGGAGCTAGAGCCAAATGTGGCACAAACTCTGCGGTCCCGGTCGCCACCAGGGCAGCTGGCCCCAAACACCCATTGCCTTTAGGGCTCAGAGTTCATCAAGGGACCCAGACATTCCCATAAGGCTGCACACAGCAGATATGGGGCCTGCCCTTGAACACTTCTCAGTCTTGGAGACTGGGAGATGATAAATAAACACAGAATGCACCTGAGAACAGTGTAGGAGCGCCACCCAGCATGAACACCACACAGCACAGGGCAAGCTGCTCAGCCCAGTGCCGGGGCTGCTGAGTCACACAGGGCTCAGAATGGCACCAAGGGACCCCAGGGGGCTGAGCATGGGGTGCATGCCAATATAGCAGGCATCCCTAACGCTCTGCCCAGTTGGACTGGAGCAACCAATGGACACAGCCTGGGATGGGAAATGAGAGGAAGGGGACACAACACAGGAGGCCCAGCCAAAGCCTGGCAGTGGCCAACACCAACCTGGGCCATGGTCCCAGCAATCCCCAGAAGAGGGGTACAGGCCTGCCCGGATGCCGCAAAGCACAGGGTCACAGCCCAGGAGCCCTGAGAGGCCTGCAATCTCAGGGCCTTGACAGACACGCCCAAAAGTAAACGTCTCGGGGTGTTCAGGAACACTCCCAACCGGACTAAGCAAAGCAGCAGGCACCCCAGGGCAGGAAGGAAAAACTACAGGGTGGAAGGGATGGGTGGGGTCTTTAATTTGCCCCAGGGTGTAGAACGACTCCCTGGGAAGTGTTCCTGCGAGACACCACGGAAAAATATATCATATATACTCTATCCCCACTTCATCAAAGACCACCAAAGAAATAATCTTAACTGCCCATGTCCCCTGGCAGCCCTTCTGTACAGTGAAGAGGCCTCTGTGGCTCACTTAGAGGCAGAAGAAGAAATGCGTATCCCTTGCCTGGCCCACATCTCAGCTACACAGACAAGAGGAAACACTCCTTAGGAGTGACTGGGTATCCTGGTGTCCAGGGAAACGGCCTGCCAGGCAGGAGTGCTTACAGGCAAAGGCAGGAGCTAGCAGGGGACAAGGCAAGGATGCTCTTGGCTCAGAGCATCCCTGCTCCACCCTAGTCCCAGGCCCTGATGCTCTTTCCTGGCATGGACACAGTCCTGCAGCCAAGAGAAGAGCTAGCACCAGGCCTGCAGCCAGCAGGACAACTGGCCCAGGGCCCATGGAAAAACACACTAAGCCAGAGGCAAATGGTCTTGTCTTCTTCAAAAATCCTGGGTGGGGAGGGCTTGGGTGGGTGATCGTCAAAGAATACTCCAGCCAAGTGGGGAACACCAGTACTAACTTGGACGCAGGCAGGGGCACATGTGGAAAGAGGGCTGGACTGGAGGGTGGAAAAAAAGTGCCATTCCAACTGCCCAGGTGGGCATCTCCTGGGGGCAACACCCAAGCAGCTGCCTGAGCACCCCTCCCCCGCCCAGCCCCCCACCCCCCCGCACTGACTCCTGCCCTCGTGGTGACGCTGGGAGTGAGAGAGTGTCCTGGACCAAGGTCTGGGAAAAGTCTCCAGAACTCTCACATCTCGTGTTCCCACATGCCCCCAGTGCCCCCTTCATGCGGCCAAGATGCCCCGAGGGAAGAGGAAGGGGGCAGGCCGGACCCGGATCTAGGCAGAAACGGGGCATGGCACCGAGGGCCGCGATGTCGCTGTGCCACGTCCGTCCGTCTGCTCTCGGCGCGGGCCGCGTTCCTTCCCTGGCCCGGCCCTGCCCGCACCCGCCCACCCCTCCCCGTTCGCTCCCGCCGCTGCCCAAGTGGCTCGAATCGGGCCGGGAACGCGGGCGTCACCCAGGAGCGAGCGGCGCACGTGCAGGGCCGGGGCCTAGGAGGATCGCGGCGCGTTAGTGCGCGCGCCCAGGTGGGGCTGAGGCTCCCAGCGCTTACTTGTAGGTGAGGCCGTCGGCGTTGGCGAACAGCTGCTGCGCAGTGAGCCCGTCCTCGGGCACGTAACCGGTGCCGCCGCTGATCAGGTAGTCCGCCATGCTGCCAGGAGACACCGCGACCCGACATAAACACCCGCGCGGGCCGCCCCGCCGCCGCTGTTGCTGCTGCCGCCGCCGAGGCTGCTGCTGATGCTGCTGCTGACGCCGCACCACGGCCACGCTGCCGCCGCGGGCTGGGCGGGCCGGGGGCGGGGGCTGCGGCAGCGGCGGGGCGGGCCCGGGGAGCCGCCCTCCCCCGCACCTCCGCTCCTCCCGCCCCTCCCTCAGGAGCCCGCCGCCTCCGCCCCCAGCAGCACAAAGAGCCCCGCGGAGCCCAGCCCAGCCGCCACCGCCGCAGCCGCGCGCACGCCCAAGGCCGCCCGCAGTGGCACAGCGGCCGCTGGGGACCGGGGCGGCGGAGGGCGTGTGTGTTCACCGGCGGAGGAGGCGGAGCCAGGTCGGGACACGCCCCCTCCGCCGCTCCAAGTCCCGCCTCTTGGGTTCCCCGCAGCGCCTCCAGCAGGGCCAGCATCCCGGGCCACCCAGGCCACCGACCCCGAGGGCACGAGTCTCCCTGGGGCCCTGCTGCCTAGTCCCAGGGTAACCTCTCACACGGTTTATCTTCCCCAAGACTAAGGCTCAGACTCGAATCAGGGCCCGGAGCCCTGAGGAACTGGTTTGGGCCGACAGCTGCCCAACACACTGGAGTCTGACGTTGTATACCCTCTCTGCAGTGCACCCCCACCTGCTCCCCACAACTGGGCATCATTCCTAGGGGTCAGGCATCTGAACAATAACAATCCCTGACCTTTGGGTGGCTTTGGAGCCCTCTGCCGTCTACAAGGCATTTTTCAGAAATGATCACATTTTCTCTACAATCTACTAATTGCCAATTATTAGGTGTCCTCCCCCCACTCCTGCTTTACAGATGCAAAACCTAGAGTTCAGGAGAGGTTGGGGACAGGTACTACCCCTGGTTCCTGATCTAATGCTTCAATCTGACATCCTGTATTATCCCCAGCTCAGAAAGTAGTGTGGATACCAGGGAGGTTTAGCCCCAGAGAGCAAAGTTTGCTTTTATTTGGAGGGTAGCATGGTGGGAAGCTGGGGGTGGGGCGGAACCACAGGCCTGGCTTAGGCAAGTAAGTATACATACAAATTAGGACAGAGGCTAGGGAAGTCTTGAGAATTTCCCCAGGCAGACATTTGGTGGCCCTGGATGCCCAGCAATAGCCAGATTTCTACATGAAGGTAGTAAGATTAGGTAGCAGGTTGATTCCCACGGGAGGAGGTGGGGCGTCTGGGGCCAGCCTTTCCCCTTCATGTGACCAGAACTGCTAATGCTACTCCCTGACCAGAAGTCAGAAAGCAAATGTCAGCCCCTTCCCTGCCCCAGGCCCAAATGCCACCTTCTCCTCCCTCTATCCTCCTCTAGTCCCTACAGCTCACTGTTGGTGAAATGAGGGAAAAGTGGGCCAGGGACCCTGTCCTTTCCTTGGCAGGGCGGCTGTCTGTGGTCCTCCCCGTCCCCAGCCCTGGAGGCTGGGTTTGTTTACCTCTCACCAGTGTGGTGGCAGCTGGGCCCAAGGGAGACTCCCTGAGATGCCCAGCCTCCCTCAGTGACTCCCCGGGACCCTGCCAGAAAAACAGAGACTGTTCCATCTGTGTGAGAGGGGAGGGGAGGCTTCCCACAGAGCTAGAGCGATGAGGCCGTGAGGCTAGAGTGCTGCTGAGGACTCACAGATGTCCACTGTGCCCTCTTTCTTACTGAGGGGCACCAGAAAAGCCACAGACTCCCAAGCTTCCCTCTCAAACTGGGGAGTCTGAAGGAGGCTCCTGATGGGGGCCCCTGGAAGCCCTCTGGTGTTGAGAAGGAGGGCCTGCTGGGGTTCTCTGCTGAGTGCGGGCTGGGGCCAGCTTGCCAGGAATGCCTAGGGTATACCTGATCCCTCAGCACTCACAGACTCCTGCAGAGGGTCTGAGCCATATGGGGAAGGGGGTTATTCTGAGGGCACCAGCATGAGGACCTCCTAGTAGCTGCCTGGAGGCAGAGCAGTGAGCCTGGCTAGAGGAAGCAACTGGCCATTCAGCGCTGTCCTAGGCACCTTTCTAGCCACAGAATGATGAAGCTAGAAGGGCATGGCAGGAACAGCACACAGGCTGCCCCTGTGGTCTGCTCTGCGTCACTGTCTCCTGAATCGTGGGTCATGGATGGCTAGGGTTTCCCCAGGGCTGGGGCCCAGGACAGCAGCTGGGGTCTGCCAGCTCAGGTGACCTCAGTATGACATTTGCCCTGGCCTCGAACTCGGAACCAGGAGAGGAGGGCTGCCACCAGGCTGAGTTGTGGGGAGAGTCCTCCTCCCAGCATGGCAGACTTCACAGCCCCACCCCCTTTCTGCTGCCCTCCCCCCACCTCCTCCCCCCCACCCCCCCCGCCCCACCTCCTCCTGCTTTGACCTGTGTCCGGGCATCTCATTACTCTAAGCTGCCGGGCTCAGCCCTGGGTTAGGCTGTCCTTTTCCAGAGACTGTTAATCCACCTCCCACCCCCACCCTCAGCTTTCCTCCTCCCTCTTCCTGATCTTCCCCAGCTGCTTCCTCCCTAGGGAGGAGACACCAGGCAACCAGTGGTGTCCCCAGCTCGAGGAAGGGCCAGCGGTCCCCTGAGGCTCCACACCTATCAGCTGGGAGCAGGAGAGCAGGCCAAGCCCCATCAAGCCCCTCCCTCTGACACAGGGGGAATGGTGCCCAGCCAGGCATCCGTATCCAGGCAGGTCTCTTTCTAGTCTGGGGCTATTTTGAAGGGACAAAATTTCAAAACACTTCCAAGGGGAGAGTTGTGGGAGTTGCGGGGAGGAGCATTAACACTCACACTGTTGAGCTGGTTTAGAGGACCTAGCTTGCCCAGGTTCAAGCCAGGGAGCAATAACTCTGGCCTCAAACCTAGACTTCTGATGGAACCCTGTCCTCCTCCCACAGTTTCTAAACTACAGCCGGCAGATGGAGGTCTAACCAGCAGGTTTTGAATCTCACTACACCACCTGGCTGGGTCTCCGGTTTGACACTGGCTCTTCAGAATCTGGTGGGGGTGGCAATAGCACAGGTGCAGAAGCACAGTCTGCAGAAAGGATGCTCCCGCGTGGCCCTGGTCTGAGTTCCAAAATGACACTCTTGCAACACCTGCCCCCAACCGAGGCACTGCCTCCCTCTAGCCCCTGTGGGCCCCTCTCCTCCTATGTCTCTCTCTGTCTCCCTAGACCCTGAGCCCCAGTAGCTGAGTTTCTAGGATGGCAGGAAGGATACAGGTGCTCGAAACTGAGTCAATTCTAGAGAGCCAGCCTTCTGGGGCAGGAGGGGCCAGGTTTCACACAGCAGCCCCTTAAGCCGTTAAAAGTTCTTACAGAATAGCGGCCAGCCCCTGGGCAGAGCTAATTCCCCCAGACCACCAACCCCCTCGCCCCCCCCCAAAAAAAACCCCAGCTTCCAGGTCACCTCCCCAAGGTGCTGAGCACCAACAGATGGGACACAGAAAGAAGTCCAAATCCTCTGGACCGGAAGGACAGTGGGTTGCATTTCAAGCTGCGATACAATCCTGAGATTAGCCACTGTCTCCTTTTCAGTCAGTCCCCTGGGGCCCAGATCAACACCTCCACTCTTCCTCCAAAGACCTTTACAGACCCCAGCAGGGTAAGGACAGGGCCGGGTTTGGATCTTAAAGAGACCCTGGGGTGAGCTGCACCGGCAGTCTCAGCAGACCTCAGTGAATGGGGGAGCAGGGACTGGTGTCCTCACCAGGATCTGAGAGGGTCATCCGTCTGAACATCCACCCTGACAGTAAGATTCTGAAGATAGTTCTAGGAGGAGACAGCTAAGGAGGAGTAAGCAAAGTTGGAGATGGACTCCAACAGGTTCGGTTTGAACCCCCCCGAGTTGGAGCCACTTGGACCAGCCGTCATCGGGTGTGTAGTTGAGGTCAGACCCCGAGCTAAGATTTTAGGGATCGTTTTTTTCCGACCTGCTCCCGGGTGCAACTCAGCACTGAGCCGTCGCCAGAGTGCCCGCCTGCATCCCCCAACCAAAGCCGGGTGCGTGGTGTCTGAGCCCAGTTTCAGGAAGTTAGAGGTTGAGGCGGTAAGAGGGCTTGAGTGGTGGGACCTGTCGTTTCCCTCCCCAGCAGCGCTGCCCGGTTCCCAGGGCCACCGCGCCCGCCCCGGATGCGCCCCGCGCGCTCTGCCCCGGGCGTCACCTCTCGGGCTCGTAGCCGGCCTGCAGCAGGCGGGCGCTGTACCGCTGCGCCGCCGTCTCGTGTCCCGGGTGCTGCCGGGCTCCGGGCTCCGGAATATCAGCGGTTCCGCCTCCCTGCAGAGGCAGCGGGAGCGGCGCCGACCCTGCTGGCGGAGCCCGCGGCTCCTCCATGCGGAGGCCGCGGCTCGGGGCGGGAGGAAACCTCTTCGCCTGGAGGCTCCCGGGCCACCGCTCGGGAGTGAGTGCAGCCGAGTCGGGTCCGGGGAAGGGGCGGGGCCGCCGAGGCGGAGCCTGCGCGCCGGGGGCGGGGTTCCAGTGCTGCGGCCGGGTCTGCTCCGGGAAGGGAGTCCGCTGTGCTGGCAAAACTCTCTCACCGGCCCATCTACCGAAATTCAGCCTGTCTCTCCCATCCCCGGATCCGCCACAGGATGCTGGGAGATGGAAGCTGAACTGCAGAGAACCTCCACCCCTTTCCCGCTGTCCGGACCTTCCAGTTTTTCCTGGCCCCTTCTAAGGGAAAATCAATAGAAAAGAGCGCAGCCGGGGTTATCTTCTCGTCTTTTGTGGATTCCTCTTCTTGCGAACCGAGGCTCGGTCCTTTGAAGCGCCTCCTACCGGCCAGCCGCAGACCTACCTTGCCAGGGCAAGACATATGCTTAGTCGCTCAGTCGTGTCCGGCTCTTTGCGACCCCGTGGACCCCGCAAGGCTCCTCTGTCCATGGGGATTCTCCAGGCAAGAATACTGGAGTGGGTTGCCATGCCCCCCTCCAGGAGGGCGAGATAGGCTGGGAGATTATCCATCTGCCTTTGCCTACCGAGCCCTTCGCCTGTTCAACAGTCTCTTAGACAGGAGGAATACAGATTTCCCTTAGCCCCTACCTGTCATTGTCTGAGGAAGGCACAGATAAGACTGCAGGCTCTTTAAGGAAAAGGACCTTGTTTTTCCCTCGCCTGAGGTACCCCATAACCAGGAAGTGGGGCTGAGCACACAGGTGTGCAAACCTCTGTTCATCTACTGACTAAAAAGCATACTTTTTCCTCTTTCAAAATTGTTATCATCATTGTCAGCAGTAATTGAGCACCTAGCAGAATTGGCAAGGAAAAATAAGCGTCCTTCCCCTCAGGCAATTTCTTTAAGGAGACAGAATAGATAGAACATAAGCAGTTTACAAAAATCTGTTTTATTAAATATATTTTTACAAAAATATGACAATCTGAGGGAGCAAATGGTAAACGCTGTGCATTTTTTTAATTTTTTTTTAAGATGCATTTAAAGGAGGCAGAGTCAAGGGTCAGAACTTTCAGCAACAATTTCACAAAGGAAATTGAATTTATGCAATAAAAAGACTTTGGGTTTTATCCTGCCTGGTACCTTTTCCTATACATGTACTCACCTGCTCCTCAGATTCAAGATCAAAGCACAGTTTCTCTGACACTCACCCATACATGAAATCTTGCCACTGTGAATGCCATTATAGACAATTATTTTTGCTATAGACTGAATGTTTGTATTTCTTCAAAAGTCATATACTAAAACCTAATCCCCAATGAGATGGTATTTGAGGCGGAAATTTGGGGAGGTGATTAGGTCATGAGGGTGGAAACCCTGAGTGGGATTAGTGTCCTTATTAAAGAGATCTCAGAAAGATAAAGACCAATACAGTATACTAACGCATATATATGGAATTTAGAAAGATGGTAACGATAACCCTATATGCAAAACAGAAAAAGAGACACAGATGTACAGAACAGAATTTTGGGCTCTGTGGGAGAAGGCGAGGGTGGGATGTTTCGAGAGAACAGCATCGAAACATGTATATTATCTAGGGTGAAACAGATCACCAGCCCAGGCTGGGTGCATGAGACAAGTACTCAGGCCTGGTGCACTAGGAAGACCCAGAGGAATCGGGTGGAGAGGGAGGTGGGAGGGGGGATCGGGATGGGGAACACATGTAAATCCATGGCTGATTCATGTCAATGTATGACAAAAACCACTACAATATTGTAAAGTAATTAGCCTCCAACTAATAAAAATAAATGAAAAAAATGCAAAAAAAAAGAAAAGAAAATGGAATTAATATAAGTTAACTAAAATTAAATCTAATAAAGAGCCAGTCCCCCCCAAAAAAATAAATAAATAAAGAGATCTCAGAGAGCTCCCTCACTCACTCCGCCATGAAAGGATATCATGTCTATGAACCAGGAAGTGTGCTCTCACTGGACATCAAATCTACCAGCTGCTTGATCTGGGACTTCTCAGCCTCCAGACTGGGCGGGGGGGGGGGGGGGTGGGTGGAATGCTGTTGTTTAAGCCACCCAGTCTATGGTATTTTTGTTACAGCAGCCTGAATGGACTAGGACCATTTTGTATAACAAGGTTATTACCATGTTCCTACAGGTTTCTCAAAGAGGCAAGAGCAGACTAATCTAAATCGTACACAGTGATAAAGTCATTTTTCTGGTCCCTGTTTGTGAATGGATCATTCTTTACACAGGAGGAGTCAACACACAGGTTTATGACCAACAGGAGAGGTGGTATAGCAAAGAGGACTAGGATTGGCAATTAGGTGAGCCTTGGTCCAAATTCAGGCTTTTTACTATATAATTACCTAAGTCAATGTTTCTCTGAGCCTCAGTTTCCGTATTTATTTATTTTTTGGCTGAGTCAAGAGGTTTATGGGATCTTAGTTCCTTAACAAGGGATTGAACCCACACCCTCTGCAGTGGAAGCCTAGAGTCTTAACCACTGGACTACTAGGGACATCCCTCTTCATCTTACAAATGGAGTTATAATATATATCTCATATGCTTTGCCATTAGTGGAATAATACAGGTAAGCATTCTGTGTAATTTTAAGCTGAGTAAGCTATGATTACAAATATTCTGCACTTTTGACCCACAACTAAATGAAATATGTTGTAATTCCTATTATATATTCATTAAGTAAATGCTTATTTGGCACCTCCATGTGCCAACTGGATGCTGAGAATACATGGTGAACAAGATGGTCATTGTCTCTGCTGCCGTGAACCTTAACGTCCACTGGGGCAGAAAGACAAACAGGCAGTGAGAGCACAATGTAAGAAGGGCTCTGGCGGGCAGAATGGCCCTTCACACAGTCCAGACTCCTGGGCAACACACAGAACATAGTCAGTTGTTCTGAGAAAGACATGTCAGGGTCCGCTTCAAAGGTCCTTGGAAGTATGAAAGAATATGAAAGAATATAAAGAATATGAAAACTAAATGACACATATACATGATGAGCGGGTCCCCCTGTGACTGAGACCTGTGCTCACTACAGAGCAGCTCTGTCTGTTCTCTGGAGCTTGTGGGCTAAAATGAAGTTTGTTAGCCAACTAGTCATTAAGACAATCCCATAACCTGAGGGCCTCAGTGTGTCATTTGAAAAGATTTTACCTGTAGTAGAGTCTAGATCAGTGGTTCTAGGATATTTGTGATGTCTGGGGACATTTTTGAATGTCATGACTAAGGAGGGAGGAGTGATTTACTAAGTGTCTGGTGAGTAGAGGCCAGAGAAGCTGCTCAACTCCTACAGTGCACAGGCAGCCCTCCACAACAAAGGATTTTCCAGCCCCAATTTCGGTAGTGCTGGTGTTGAGAGACCCCAGTCCAGAGGAACTATTTGAAGAAATCAGAACTAAAGAAAACTACTAAATTTTCCTAAAGCCACAGGACAATGGATGGTTTTGGTTACGTAAAAGAACTATGTATCCTTACTGGACCTCCTCATCTGAGAAATGAGAGTGTTGGATTTGATCTCTTACAAAGTCTTTTAAAGCTTGAAAGTATATGAATCAAATACTTTTATAGGATTAGAATGCAATTAACATAAGGCTATAAGATTGAAGGATGGCAGTCAGTCCAGGTACTAGTGTGTCTGCATTGCTTTTCCTTCCAGACTTCCTGAAGTCAGGTGCATAGTCCATTCATCAAAAACATAAGGCAAAGAAGAGAAAAAAAGAAGAAAAATGTGTGGAACACCTCCTATGGGCAAGGTGCTGTGCTTAGGTGTTAGAGTGGTATGCAAAAAGAAATTCAATAGAGCACTTACCTTAGAGTTACCTACAACAGAGGAAGGCAGAAAAAGTAATTCTAACTATAATATGGGACGAAATCCAATGGAGGGGAGAAGACCATTTATTCAGTATATTTGCATCAGACACTAGGATAGATCTTTGCATATGTTTCTCATTAATTCTGCTTCCCATTATTTATTATTTCTCAGGCAAAGAAACCGAGGTTCAGGGAGACTAAGCAGTTTGTCCACAGACATAGAAAACAGTGATGATTGCTGGCGTCCAGGAAAGATGGTGGGCCTGTTTATTCCTACACTTCAGCTTTTAAATATCTTCCTAGTAACTCTCATTTTCTTGTACAGAACCTGACAGCACCAATGGAGAATCTAATACAAGGTATATAGCCCATTGCAGGGGAATTCAAAAGAGAATGTAGATTATTTTGTGATTAAGATTTTGATCCAGATATCACTTGAAATAAGCGGTTTAGCTTAGAAATATTTTTATTGTGGGCTCCACTTATTATAACAAATTTTCTGAAGTCAACATAGCGCAGTTCCTTGCTAACAGTTGTTCCTCAAGATCTAATGGTGGGAAGAGAGTGGACTGACCTTTTGGAAGCGAATATGAATATCGCCATCCCATAAAAGTGTAACTCAATCCTAAAGGTAGCTATCATAATGATTCCACTTGTACTTCTTAAAAAAACTTTTTGATTCTGGAGTATAGCCAATTAACAATGTTGCAAAAGTTTCAGGTACACAGCAGTCCAGCCTCGCCATATGTACCCATGTATCCATTCAGCCATATATACCCATGTATCCATTTAGCCATATATACACATGTATCCATTCTCTCCAAAACCCCCCTCCCATTCAGGCTGCCACACAACATTGAACAGAGTTCCCTACTTGCACTTTTAACATTTGCAAAGTGTGCATTGATTTGTTCAACAGATATTTGTGAAGCACTTGATGCATATAGCAGTGTGTTAGGCACGTTAGGGCACTGAAAGAAAATGACATTTTAAAAGCTAAACAGTAATATAAAGTAATGGTTCCCAGCTGGAGACAGTTTTGGCCCAGCATTCCTTTTGGGGTGTCTGAAGACATTTTTGGTTGTCACAGCCAGAGG